TCCTGCCGATATCAGAGCAGGCTGGGGAGAGGTGAGGGAGTACACTGGCGAGATGGGGCCAGGGAGGAGGGAGGCAACGACAGACCTTGGAACCAATCTGTTACAGAGAGCTGGGGATGATGGCCCTGCTCCTACCCCAGGCCTGAGCTTGGGTGAGGTGGTAGGCTGAGGGTTTCCTAGGGAGTCACAGAGCCCAGGGGAGCTCCTGGGATGGGTTCCTTCTTTAGTTGGGCTTCCTGGGGCCTGTCTGCTTCCCCACCAGTACTTTTCAGAAGGGGTTCGGGCAGCAATGACAGCCAGTGATGGCAGCAAGCTTAGCCACGGGCAGTCTGGTAAGGAAACCACCCTGGATCCGAGTTTGGGCAGAGAAGAGGAAGGCAGTTGAGGGGAGACAGCAGAACAAGCTTCCCCTCCCTCCAGGGCCCCAGAGCCACAGGTCCATCTGGCCTGCCCTTGTGGGGGAGGGCTTGAATGGAAGATGTGTCAGGAGTGCTCAAATGGCCAGGACCAGGGCTTAAGAAGTGAAGCGAAGCGAAGCTATTTTAATAAGTAAAAATGACTCAAAAAATTAAGGAATTGACTCATTAAGTCATTTCAGGAGCAGTACACAGCAGAAAAGAGGGTTTCCAAAAAGCAAAGTGGTAGCAAATATTGGTAAATGGAAGCTGGTTTGTATTTAAATGGCTGGGGATGAGACTTCTCAATGAAACTCATCACTTCTTGAGCCCCATCAGGGACAGATGATGGGCTGTGCGTACACTGATTTCTCATGATGTCTCTGCCAAGGAGGCTGAAACCTTCCCATCTCAGAGCCACATGTAGCCGAAGTTCAGAGTGGTGACTTGACATGCTAACCTGGAAAGGTTAGTAAGCAGCTGAGCTGAGATGCAGACCTGTTACCTGCTCTTTCCACCAAGCCATCCTGCTTTCCTACTGCCCCCAGCTGTAGAGGACCTACTATGTGCAGAGGACCTCACAGGGTCCTGTCTGTACTAACTGAAAATCACAGCCTTGCTTTAAACATAACATACATCAGTTTGAAATATGGAATGGATGCTGGAACAGCAATCATCTCCCGCAGCATTCATATTCCCAAGAATTGTAGGATGCCATGAAGGACAGGGTGGGACCAAGTCGGACTGAGAGGGCCTCCAAGTGTTTTTAAAGCCCTGTCCTCACCCACATGGTCTGAATTCTGTATCTCTCCTCCCTGCCTCAGTCATGTTTTCAGGATTGATCTGCTGATACCATCTGAGGAAATGATTGACAATGATATGCTTCTTCAAGGGTCATGTTCACAGAGACAGTTGCCATTTAAATAAAATCTTACCTCCAGTGTCCTGCTCAAGACATACAACTCCCCAGTGTTCATTACAGCACTATTTATAATAGCCAAGATGTGGAAGTAACCTAAGTGTCCATCAACAGACGAATGGATAAAGAAGATGTGGTATACATAAACAATGGAATATCAGTCACCCATAAAAAAAAGAATGAAATAATGCCATTTTCAGCAACATGGATGGACCTAGAGATTATCATACTAAGTGAAGTAAGCCACTAAGCCAGACAGAGAAAGACAAATATCATATGGTATTGCTTATATGTGGAATCTAAAAAAAAAAAAAAAAGAAAAAAGATACAAAGAAACTTATTTACAAAATAGAAATAGACCTAGAGACATAGAAAACAAACTTATGGTTACCAAACGGGAAAGGGAGGGGAGGGATAAATTAGGAGTTTGGGATTAATAGATACACACTACTATATATAAAATAGATAAATAAGGACCCTACTGTATAGCACAGGGAACTATACTTAATATTTTGTAATAACCTATAAGGGAAAAGAGTCTGAAAAAAAATATATATAACTGAATCTCTTTGCTGTACACCTGAAACTAACACAACATTGTAAATCAACTACACTTCAATAAAGAAAGTCAAAAAAAAGGGGGGGGGGCTTCCCTGGTGGTGCAGTGGTTGAGAGTCCCCCTGCCGATGCAGGGGACACGAGTTCGTGCCCCGGTCCGGGAAGATCCCACATGCCGCGGAGCGGCTGGGCCCGTGAGCCATGGCCACTGGGCCTGCGTGTCCGGAGCCTGTGCTCCGCAACGGGAGAGGCCGCAGCGGTGAGAGGCCCGCGTACCGCTAAAAAAAGAAAAAAAAAAAACAACAAGGCATATGTCTCCCTTTCTAGCATTGCGTTGTAATGCCTAATTATTTGCATTGAACTTAAAGAGCTAGGCAATGATTATTTTAGAAACAACAGAAGGAACAGCCATTTTCTTTGGGCTCTTTTCTTTTTTGTTTTTGTTTTTTCTTTTTACCTATATCAAGCACTGATTTTACTATGAAAATTTAGCTGCCTTCCTACAGAATAATTCCCCAAAGAAATGGAAGGATCAGCATGGGAGCAAGTTAAGCTTCCGGGGTAAGAAAGGAGCCTGTTGCTAAGCTGAGAGTGTAAAGCCTGAGGACAGAGGTTCCCACCTCCTTTTCACTGGGAGTCGTTTCAGTTGCTCCTGGGGATTGTGGGCAAGTTCTCAGTGACAGGTGATGGAGAGACCCTCACAGGGGAATGTCTCCTTTCCAAAGGAGGCTGCTGGCTTCTGCCATGTCATGTTTGAGTCCCTGAGCCTGTTTCTTTTATATTGCTCCTCAACTGAACTCATGCATTTATTACCCTGCCTTTGTGTTCCAGGTTGATTGTCTTCTTTATTTCACCCCTCAATTACCTTAGGAGGAAGGGGGAAGTGAGATTGCCCATCGAAACACTCTTGAAGATCTGCAAAGCTCTCCTTTGGGGATCTGATAACTACATGTTTATGCATTTTATACATGGGAACACTAGAACTCAGAAAGGTTAAGACACTTTTAAAAATGCTTTCTGGAAAGCAAAAGTTAGTCTCTGCCCTCTGCATTAATTAGACATTTCTCTGCACAGTTATGGTAACAGTGCTATAGCAGGAGTTCCTGAAGTAACAAAGCCTGAAAAGAAAAAAAAAGAAAAAGCGCAGCTCTTTGTAAAGTGGATGTGATCATGGTGGTTCTGAATCCACATTCAAAGCCACAGAAACAGCTTGTTTTTATTTCAGTTGTGCCAAATGTTTGGGTGCATGACTAGCCCTTTCACAAAGGCTGAGAAAAGGGTCAAGTTGGATTTTCAGATCTAGATCAAGATGGACCAAATATATATGTAGTTGAAAGCCCCAGTGGCCCATGGTAGCTGATAGGACATCTGGAGGAAATGGCATTTGGATTAATCTATGCAGTCTGTTCCTCCTGAGTTGGTTGAACAACTTGTGTGCGCACAGCTCTCTCACGGACCTGCTTAGATACTGAAGGATGAATCTCTTGATCCCCCAAAATAAGTAAGACATCTTTGTGAAGTTCAGATAAAATAGATGGGAATGTAAGTTTTCCATAAATTGACTGCCTTTACGGCGGAAAATATAGCAAAAGAAAAGAAATTGGACTGTAGGTGAAAAACAAATGTGAAATTTTGGACTGAGAGCATGGATGCCATAAGCAACACCCTCCCCTTCTTCCTTTTTCTGCCTCCAACTGAATTTCCAGTGCAAATACAGCTCAGCTTCCGTGAGGAATCACTAACTACTCTTTCAGCTGTTTCAGCATCTTTTCACATCATGATGGAAAATGTTGAAATTGCACTTTCTTGGGATTTTTATGCTGGAGAGAATAAATCATGTTGTGTTTCAAAAAAGAAACAATCCCATAAATAATAGGGTCAGGCTGAAAAGAAGTCCTCGAGACACCAATGGGCCAGGTAATAGGGCCTCAGAGAAGTAACTCGCCCAAGCATACTCTTTTCTGAGTCCATGGATCCCAGAGTGAAAATATCAGGCAGGGATGAGGGAGGGTGAAGTCTTCAAGGAATATTAGCTTGACAAGCTTTGATTTCAGGTGAGCTCAACTGCAAATGATGGGGCTGTAGGAGGGCAAGATCCAGGCTGTAAGGGGATCTGAGAACATAGGTCAGTTATCAGGGTTAGCCCCCACACGAGGACTGGGGCCATGCTGGGTCTTTTGTTCAGATGACAGAGAGTGAGCATTAGCTCCCGGAGCTCCTGTCTGGCCAGGGATGTAATGACTGTAGTGAGGACTCTCAGATCCACACCAGCAGCAGGCATCAACTTGATTGTCCATAGGAGGTAGGAGTCCTGTTAGTGGATTAAGGATGTAGTGGAGAAGCTAGCCGATTAGGAAGCAGCCTCACAACGGCAGCCTAACAATGACTGGGAAGGCAATGGAGCTCCAGCCAGGCAGTGAGGCTTGTGGGAGGGTCTATGGACCTAGAGAAGGGAAGGCAAATGCTGCCCTTGCCTCAGAGGGGTGGGAATAAAGTCAGAGCCCCAGAGGTTGATGATTCTGAGGTTGTCTGTTCATCATTCACTCATTCAATTATACAATGAGCATCCACCAAATGTCACACACTATTCTAGGCACTGTATCCCAAGAGGAAGCCGTTCCCTGCTCTCCCAGGTTTTACGGACAATGGGAGAACCAGAAAGGAAAACCAGATGGTGACAGTACAGGACTATGGAATGTATCGCTAGGAACCAAGACAGTGTTGTGGAGCATCTAATTCCAGCCAGAGGCTGGGAAGCAATGAACAAGTACCATTTCTCCGTGCCCATTCTCTGTGAGACATGGTGCTCCCTTCACACTGGATTTCATTGAAGCCTTACCACAATTGTGTAAAGCAGGCGACAGTATTCCCATTTTACAGATGATGAAACTGGGGCTCAGAGGATTCAGATCACTTCCCCAGTACCACACCCCAGTAAGTGAGTGCTGGGGTGAGGATTTGAACCCAGGTCTGTTTCGGCTCCAAACACTGTGCTCTTTCGAACTATTCAAAGCCTGTAAATATAGAACACACACAGCCAGAAACACTCTCCTCAAGAGTCTTTGAGGATTGTCCTACCCAAAGACACAAGAGAGAAAGATAATAGAGATTACAGCGTGAGACTGAGGAAGAATTAAAATAGTGCTTTTAATATAATTCTCAGCAAACGTACAGTATGTACTTTACATCACATATTTCTAGACTGCTCATCTGGAAAATAGAAGCTGCAAAAATACAGAATACCACACTCAAAATCTATTGAGTATGTGCTTTTTTTCCCCCTCTGTTCTATGAAACAGGGTAATTTTTACCCCCTCCTATTAAAATCCAGACTCAGCTGCTTTTGGAAGAACTGTCGGAGCCCTCGGTCAGAGAAGCATTCCCAAGAGGGAGTTTTCTAAAGCGTGTCAGCAGACCATCCCCACAGGAGCCAAAGGAGGGAATGGGCAGAAGGAAATTTGCACATCTGGTCAATATTACTCTTTAGTGATCCAGGAAAATGCCTACTCCAAAGGTTTGGAGGATTCCTGGCCACAGACACCTGCTTAGTCCTTGTCACAGGCCTGTGCTTGGGGCCTCAAAGGACCACATACTGGCCGGAGAGTCCTCACAGGGACCCTTGGGTTCTCGGGCAGGGCAGAGCACGCTAAGTCAGGCCCGCGAGGTCTGTGGGCGGTGGCGGGCTGTTCTGTGCAGGAAGAGGGCCAGGCCCTCAGCTTCTCACAAAGGAGTCTTCTGAAGGTGATTGTGACTCGGGACAGGTTTTCTCAGTCTCAATGTCTTGGTACTCTGTGCCTAAAGGGGGGAGGGGGAAGAGAGCCAAGAGGAAAAAGAGATCGGTCTTTTCTGGTTTTCCTACTTATTTTTTTAGGCTCATATAACAGCATCCTGGCCTTCCAGTGGAATGGATAAGAGCAGGAAGTCATGTCAATAAAATGTTACGTTTTGCTCCACGTCACCCCAAGGGACCAGACTCCAAGCCCAAAGACCTTTATGTAGGCCAAATTTTTCTGAGAAGCGCATATCTATACCAACACCTACGTGGATGTTTACTCTATGGGAAGGAATAAGCTGCATCCCCGTCATTAACTTATCTTCATCCTCCTAAGTCACCAGTGACAGACACTGTCACTGCAATCTCTGTTGAACAGGTGGCTGTGTACCAGAGAGAACCTCCTGGCATTCTAATGTCATGCTTTCTCCTCCAGCATTTGGGACCAGTTTGCTTTTCATTCAGCCACAGAGGGTCACCACATGCTGAGTGAAAGAATCTCCTCGTTGGAGCAAGGTTTTTAAGCCTCCACAACACTTCTGAAATAGATGCTGCGGCTTCATTTAAAAGGCACGAAAAACCCAGCTTCGTCCCTGTGATGATTTACAAGTTGTGTAGGTCTCCATGACTGTGACATTGCAGCTTTCCTGTTCAATGATAGCCAGAGCGGTACCATAGAAATCCCCACTCATTTCCTTGTCCTCTCTAGACTCTGACCCGGTAGTACCAAAGGTGACAACGTGGAAATGTCACTCCTTTCCTCAGGATTTTGCAGCTGAGACCTGGCTTATAGGAGAGGCAGCTCACACGTTCTGGACAGTTTGGAGCATCTTTCTCAACTTTCACAAGGTTCAAGTTCTTTTGGTCTTGGGGGCTCTGTTAGAAGCCGTGGGGGCAGGGAGTTGGGGAAGGTGGGATAGAAGTGAGAGAGACGGGGTTGGTTCTTGTGCGCAGAATGAATCAGGCAGAGAATGATGGGGAGATGGTCAACTTCTGCTGACGTGGCTAAGGTGGAAAAAGGAAGGAGGAGTGTTTCTAAAGGTCTCCAGTGTTTACTGAAGGAAGAAAAGAGTTCTTCTCATTTTAGATCTCTGTGCCGGTAGGCAAAGTTTGGCAGAGGTTTTCACCGCCAGCTCTTGCCTCATTTCTCTATGGAATTATAGACTTTTGTAGGGGTTTCTGACAGTGGATGCCTTCCTGGCCTCATCAAAGCTTCCTGAGAAGCCAGCCAGATCTGCATTCTCACTTTGGTGGCGTTTGTGGTGTCATGGAAAGAGCATTGGTTCAGGAGTCAGACAGACCGGGCATCGGCTCCTGGTGACTTTCTAACTAGCTGTGTGACCTTGGGAAGCTTTGGTTTACTGAGCCTTAGTTTTCTGATCTGTAAAGTGGAAACAATGATACTTACCTCACAGGGCAGGTGTAAGAAAGCTGCTGAGAATATTATCTGGGATCAGGCCTTATGGCCCCTGGCACGTGGGTAGAAGCCTCATAATAAGCATGAGCTTCCAGCTCCTTTCCTCCTTTAAGGGGCTGGGCTAGAGCACAACTGATGTGTTAGCTGGGTTCCTCTTATAATGAAACTTCCTACGTTGCATACTTCCACTTCATTTTATGGTCTTGACAAACCCATCTCCACGAGAGTTACCTTCTATTAAGTTAGCGTGAATTTAAGAGGAACATTATTCTCTGGGATGTAATGGGATGGTAAAATCTCACCCTACAGGATGTTAAACCTCCAGAAAATTTACTATGGTTGTTCCATCTGCTCCTGGTAAGAGAACATAATCACTTTACCTTACAGAAAAATATTCAGAATCGGTGCTGATCATCAATTACTGATTGTTGGCCTGAGTCATTAATACAAAAATCAAAACATCTAGAAACTCTGTTCCTAAAAGTCTAGTATTTGATAATAGAGCAAGACATATCTCCAACCAGTGACCAGCATCGGTGTGTCTGGGGCCCTGGGCTGGAGCCGAGCTCCTGAGGCTGATGCTGAGGACTGTAGGGGTGCCAGGTGGGAGGGGTGTCCGGGGTCTCTCCAAATAAGTTATCACTGGGCTCTGTGGTTAAGACTGGGAACAACACAGGAAGAGCAGATGTCCCCAGAATACAGCTGTTGCCATGTCCCCATTGTTATGATAGGGGGCATGCGAGAGCGTGGGGGGCATCCATAGTCCATTTGAGTTGGAGTCTTCTGAATAGGACGTCCCTACAGGAGGGAAGGGTCTCTCATTTCTTGCCCAGGATGGAGGGAGTACCCACAAAGGCAAAGAACACGAACTTTGGATTTGTTGACCTGGGTTTGAAACTCGGCTTTGTGACCTTGAGCCAATTCTGGAAGCTTTCCCAGACGCATTTTCCTTTCGTGTAAACTGAAGTTTAATAACTGTTTCTGCCTCACAGGACTATGGTTGAGATTAAACGAGCTAATACATGTGATAAGCTGCTTCATACTAAGTGCTTGGTAAATGTCAGCTACTATTATTATTAGTTATTATTCATGCTTACCAATTATTCCACTGGGCATATCTACTAGCTTTCTAGTGCCAGTGTTTCGTCTTGGAGGGAAGACACTTGAGACACTATTCAGTATCTGGATTCAATCTTCTTTGTCTTGTTCCTGCATTTTTCCCTCCCATGCCCACTTCCATCACTTAAGGAAAAAAAGATGATTACTCTGGTAGAGCTAGGGAGTGAGTGTCAGGGCTGGAAGAGAGTGTAGATTGTATAGTTCCAATTCCCCTCATTACACAGGAGAAAGATAATGTCGCCTTCATTGCAAACCCTGACGACAATGGGATACTTACCTCATTCTTGGAAAATGGGATACCTGAATTAGATTTTTAAGGCTGAAGGACCCTTCCAATCCACGACTCAGCCCAGGCTACAGTGGCCTCTGCTGCTACAGTCCATCCGACTGTATGCCATGCTGCTTCAGACCTCGTTGTTTTCCAGAACAGAGATCAGCATGCTACGGCCCTCCCTCAGCCAAACCCAGAGACTGCCTGTCTTTGTAAATAAAGCTTTATTGGAGCACAGCCCGCTCATTTGTTTACACATTGTCTAGGGCTGCTTCTCTGCTATGACAAAAGAGTAGTGGCCACAAAGACTCAACGACCCTCAAAGCCTAAAATGGTTACCACCTGGCCCTTTATGGAAGGTTCGTGAACTTGCTCTGCTGGTCCTGTCGATGGAGGGTCTCTTCCCCTGGCTCCCTGGCAGACATCCACTGCTCTTTAGTTCTTGTTTTCTAGACCACCGGCTCTCTGAAGCCTTCCTGATTCTTGACGCCATGATGCAGAACTTCCCAGTTCCCTGAAACAGCCCTCATTGCTCCCAGACACAGACAGACAGACAGACAGACCCTGGCTCTTAAAATGACTATTCTGTTGCTTTTATTTGTGTTCAGGTCTGTTTCAATCATTAAACTGAGTTCTTGGAGGGCGGGACCATGTCTTCTCCACCTATGTACCCGGTTCGGAGCCTGGCACACAGTCAAAATTTTAATGAAATAGTGAGTGAATAAACACATCACTGGAAATTATCAAGCTCATACAGTGCTCCCCTAAATGGCACTAATCCTGCCAAGGAAAACTGTGCTACCATGTGGAGGGTCCCTGAGAAGCACGAGCTCTGTCCTTATCTCCACGGCAGTCACAGATTTCTAACGTGCTGGGGAATCCTGGCTTTTCTGAATTCCCCATTTCAGGCTTTTTAACTCATGTCCTCCCTGCCATGATAACCAAGCACTCTGAGGTCACCTACAAGCGTGAGGGAGGGGAGACACAGGTGGGTGGCTGTGTGCAGACAGTGTAAATTCCCGTGTGATCCTAGCAACAGGCCCTGAAAGAGGCATCTGAACAATGTCTTCCTTGCATGTTCTGCCAGTAAGAGATTCCTCTGTTTTACCAATTTATTCTTGAGCAACCATAATACCCCGGGGCGGGGGGCGGGGGGCTAGGTCCAAAGGCTATCAGTAGGGCTGGTTACTCTCAGAGATTAGGTCCTCACAGCTGTTCAGAACTCAAGAACTTGAAAAGAGTTGGGAGAGGTGAATAAGGAGGAAACGAGGAGGGAAGGGCAGAGAGAGGAGGAAAAGGACTCTGTTTATGCCTCAAACTAATTTCCAGGCTCAATTTAATTTCACTAGCACCCTCTCTTGGAAAATGTTGCACCTCTGAGGGATGTGATCTGGATTCTAACCGAAAGGGAAACACAGACCGTGGCTCAAAGGAGGCTGTTGAGAGGCACTGACATGAGCTCAGTGGAGTAATTAAGCCCCTACTATGTGTCCGGCACCTTCTCCTGGACAGATACTGGCTCTCCATCGAAACAGTCAGGTAAGAACAGCACAAGACAGCAAATATTCTGTTAGACTGAAAAACTGCTTGTCTGTTTTTCTCCCCTCATCCAAGCCAAACCAAACCAAACATACAAACAACAAAACAATAGGGTGAACACCACCAAAACATACAAACGACAAAACAATAGGGCGAACACCACCAAACAGGACAGAAGCTTACCCTGTCCTGTCCCTCTGCTCTTGATTGTATAATCGGCTGCATTGATTTCTACAGGTTGAACTTTATTGCTTCACGTTGCTCAGGAGTACATTCAGGACTCCCGAACAGGGCTTAGGACACAGGCCTGGTGGGCTTGACTGGGTGGAGAAGAAACCACACTTCCCATGACCTGAACAGCGGGCAGCAAGAAAAACAGCCTTGTAGGCTCATGCGGAACCAACAGCTTCTCCTCAGAGGGTTTCCCCGTGAGTATATATATGTTTCCATTTTACATGCTCCTCATGAATGGCCTGCTTTGGAAGTGTGGAAGATAATCTATTAGCAACCACGGCAGAATCTTTTTCCTGAGAAACTTCCTCAGGAGTGGTGTGGCTATCATCCCAGGGACCAGCTGGCCGCCCTGAACGGTACATTTCTGTGGGTCACCTTGGGCCTGCGTGCAAGGCATGGGAAATGTTGCCACGCCCGAGCGAGGGGATGCTCTAGGTTATTACTGGAGGTGGGGAAGTGGAATCGGATTTGAATGTAGAGACACCACTTAACCAAACTCTACAAATCATTACTAGGGGAAGCTATTCCACTGGAGGGTGGGGAGAAAGAAGCGATTTTTATGGAGAAGCACGTTCCTTCCCGCTCGGAAGACATTAGGAAGTCTGTCAAAGGATTCCTTAGAAGCCCTTGGTTTCCCCTTATTATTTTGCCTGTTAAGGACTGCTAGCACACTCCTCAGGGGACTCGTGAGCAGAAGCATCTCTGGCTCCTTCGTTAGCTGTGAGGAAAGCCCACACGCTGTGGCCTCCTGGAGTGGCTGTGTCGCCGGGGTGCCTGGGAGCTTCACAGCCTTCCTCTGTGGAGGCGTGAAGAAGGCAGCAAAGCTGCTGGGCTTCCCTGACAGCGCGCAGCCTCAGCGGGAGGAAGACAGCAAACTCCGTCCCCCAGAGACAGAGACTTCTAGAAAATGTGTTCACTTCATATGCAGGAATATTACTGGTAGAAACCGTTTTGGTCTACATGTAGGAGTTACAGAAACCTGTCGCAAGTTGCAGCAAAGAGAGCCTTTTCCATCCATCCCTGGGCAGCTTCCACTAAAGTGGTGGAGGGCTTCGTAGCAGAAGAGAGAGAACGTTAGCATTCACTTTCTAGGTTTATTCCGTCCCTTACATTTTGGTTTTCCATAAGTCCAATGAGGATCTCCCCAGGAAGTCTTTCCATTCAAAATCCTGCTCAAAACCAAGCAAATAATCAAGGGGCTGGATTGGGAAGGGTATGTACAACGGTCCCTTGTAGCACAAAAGGAAAATTAAAGCTAGACTAGGTTTTCTGTTCTGGAGTATGGGAGAGAAATTAAAATTTTTAAAGGTGACAACAACACATGTTAGAGCCATCTTACAAGAGGGGACTTTAAATTTCGATCCCGTTGTTGATAAAACTGAGCCCTGGAGTTGTTTTCCTTTGGCATCCTAACCTCTTATTCTCATTCAGCCTAAAATCTTAGGAAAAATAGCCAAAATGCAAAGAGTTTTCAAAAATCGTTTTTAAAAAACAAAAACGAAAACACAAATAGCCCCATGAAACACGAGGTTCTGCAGCCTCAGTGGGTGTGGACTGATTTGGGGGAGCTACACGATCATATACAAGAGGGCAGTGATCCATTAGCGATACATTTTCAAGACAAAACCAACCCAACACCTATACAGGATGGAATCACAGCCTCGGGAGCCACAGAGCGTACATAGTTTATGAATTGTTGGAGAACAGCCCCACCTTTAACTAGTTAACATATTGATGAACGTCCCCATTTTCAGGAACAAGGACAGACTCAAGCAAAACACAGGAGAAAGCTCTTCTGGAAGCATCCTGTCCCGAGGACGCAGCTGATCACGGTGGCTCCGCACCACGACAAAAGCTTCTTTGGGGCATCCTTGCTCCGTGGGGCTTTTCTCTAGTTTGGGGCTGTAACTCAAACTGCCCCATTTACAGCGTTTGTTAAAAATTCATCACAATGCCCCTCTCCCCCCCCCGCCCCACCCTTTTCTTTCCTGATTCTCTTGTCGCCTTCTAGATGACGTGAAAATACGTGTCTGTCTGAGGTGAAAAAGCCAACCAACCAACCCATCCTTGGGGTCTTTCCAGGCCCAGGAGTGGCCTAGATCAAGCTCACTGCAATAGCATGAAAGGTGGGTTAACTGGACCCTGTGTGTGCATGTGCGCGTGCTCTCTCTCTCATAAGCTCTGCCCCTTCTGCAAAGGGCCTCACCAGGCCGAGTCAGCTGGATGCAAGAGGTTTTCCTGTGATTCTTACCCCAGACAGTGGTAGGTTCGCTTCTAGCTGTTTGAGGTTCAGCCACTTTCAAAACACATACAGACAAAGTCCTCTTAGTTCAAGACTGACCCTGGAAATATTAGACATTTTCAGGCAGTGAACGTGCGGTAGCTTCCAGGAGCTTGTGGGTCTGTTATCCCAGACACTACATGCTGCTCAAAGCTTGTGCTAGGGAACTGTTCTTTCTTCCCTCTCCTCGCCCCGGAAGCCCTGCACCCATACACACAACCCACAGCTGAGCGTGTCTCCGCTGCACGTTGAAAAGAACACCTCTTGGCATGTGAAGCAGGCATATGAAAGGGCTTCCCGTGACAGTGATCACTGAATCATGGGGAATAAATGGAGAAGGCAAATTTGCAATTCATCACGTTATCCCCTGTTGCCTCAAATGTGATCCTTTTAAAGGCAGGGTGCATATACACTCTCTTTTTTAAGCTTTTTTTTTTTCTTTTTTTTTCTTTTAACACACTGCATGTTCTTGTTTTCACAGACTATCCAAATGAGGATAAAATGATAAAAAAATTACAATAGATTAATTGCATCCCTTGAATAACGTTGTATTTTTGGTGCATTAAAAAAGGAGAAAAGTAAAAGCAACCAGCGTAATAAATTCGGCCTAGAGAACTGTGTTAGTGACTGAAGGGTTAACACAGATTGGAGTAGTTAAAAATAGTATCAGAGGATTTACACATACAACAGTTTGAAATTCATATGCATTGCATTTTTTTCCTTAAAAACGGCAAAATGTTTGGCAAATGTAAGCAAATGACTTGGACTAGGTTGGGTTTCACCGGCTCTGAGCGAAGTCAGTCATAGCCAGGCGAGGCCCACTGCTTCCTGAGGTCACTCTGCGGGGCTGGGGGACGCACCCCAATGGGAGGTGCTGCAGGGAAGGGGAGGTGCTGGCCCCCCCCCATGTCCGGCTCTCCCTGGGGCCCTCAGTCTTGAGAAATGGAAATGGAGCTGGTGAGAGGTGTCAATTACAGTCTGTCTCCAGCACAGATCACCCTTTAGCATCGCTGAGAGAACTCTGGGGCCTTGAACCACATGTGTAGACTGGGTGAGTCGTCTACACAGCGACCCATATTGCGAAAGTTAGAGAAGTGGGCCTCCACTCCTCTGACTTGGGTGCCCCTCCACCCCCGTGTGGGCGGGGAGGGTGGCACGGGGTGTGTCACTAGTGCTTATCCTGGCAAATGTTGTCAACTTGGGTTGTTTAGTAGACTTCTTTTTTTTTTTTAATATATATATATTTTTGTTTTGTATGTGTATATATATCCAGGAAGGTCCGTCCTCCAAGCCGGCCACCACTGTTCCCTGAATTTGGCAGTGCCTGTTGCTTGCAGCTGTCGGCATCCTGAAAAACCATGAGGTGCCTTCAAAGAGTAGACTCTGAGCCCCAGGAGGTTGCATGTCAACCACGTGATCCCACGCTCTCCTTATTTTGAATCCTGTCTGGCTCTGATTTTGAGAAAAAGGACAAAGGTGCTGTGTGTACATGTGTGTGTGTGTGTCTCTGTGTGTACTGAGTTTTTTTTTTTTAAACTTTTTTCTTTTTTTTCTTTTTTTAGGAAAAATGACCCTTGGATGACTAATACAGAGTTCAACCCTCCTTCAGTCACTATAAAACAGACTCCATGTTCTCACACCACTCATGATCTTCAAGGTTATAGATAAATTTTGTCCTATGTGTCTGGTCGGCGGGCACAGGGTCCCTCCCCAGATTGTCTAGGGTCAGAGTAGAGGCAAAGAACTCACTGGTGCTCAGCCCGCCCTCGTGGTTTTTGATGTATCGTTTATAGTTTTTCCTCAGGCACTGCCACGTGGTGGTGTAGAGGAGGAAGGCAAAGGACTTGAGCGCGATGGCGATGCTGACGTACAGGTATCTGTAGGCCACATTGTCATAGAGGACGCAGGCGCCTTGCTCCCCACAGAATGTGCTCCAGAACAGGCAGGTGGAGTCGATGCCGGCCCCGAAGATGAGCGGTGGGGGGATGAAGCCTGTCAGAGGGAAACGGACAGTTAGTTAATGTTTGGGTTCGAACGGCTGGTTTGATGGAGAGAAGGGCTCCCCTGTCCCCATACGTATCTCTTCCGACAGGACTGCAGGGTTCGTGGACCATATTCAGCGGTTTTACAGCACAGTGGGGAAAAGACCCCGTCCGGAGGTCGAACTGCTTGGGTTCGAATCTCAGCTCTGCCTCTTACTGCACAAGCCTGTGCAAGTTATTTAAGCCCTCTGTGCCTTAATTTCCCCATCTGCAAAATGGGGTTAATAATATCAGTCCTTCTCAGATCACTGTGAAGGTTGGCTCATTGAATACATGGAAAGCATTTAGAACAGTGAGTGGCACAGAGTAAACACAAATGACATCTGGGATCATCATCCACTGAGTCTCCCCTGAAGGGAGACATTCTTGGCGTCACTCAGAGAAGTGCACCCTTGTAGAGGAAACTGCTAAGAGGCATCATACTCTGTGTATTGTTCTTTTGCATGGGGCTTCTGAGGCTTTGTGTGCTCTTGAGAGGAGGGAGTTGGAACCAGAGGTTAAAAATGAGTACACTACACCTTACGTGTGTGTATGTATAATACGTGCACACACATATACATAGGAAGGATGTGTTCTCATATAGGTATATATACAAAGATATGTAAATATACATATGTGTATGGTTTAATAGCCGGAAAACATCTGCACGCATACTGACAACTTTCCTTCCCCTAAATATTACCACTGGAGCAGAACACTTTTCATTCTGAGCCAGGAACCGGTTTTAAAACCTTCACAATAGATCATTTCATGCACCTACAACCAGTCATCGAAAAAGGCAGAGGAGATGGAAACTATTCATCATCCTTAATTCATTCAGTTCTCTGTTACTCTCTGCGTTCATCTGCCTGCTGCTACCCCCGAGCTCAAAGGTTATCAGGCCTGGCTGCACATTAAAATCATCTGTGGTGTCCTACCCCAGACCAATTAAATCAGAATATTGGGTATGTGGCCTGGTCATCAGCATTGTTAACATAAAACATTCCCAGGCGGTTCTGGCCTGTTGCGGGAAAAATGTTTCATCTGTATTATGGGAAAGCAATGGATGGGCCATTTATACAAATTAATTGCTTCGGAAGAAACAGTGTCCCCAAGGCCAGGATATGGTACCAATCGTCTTCGGTGAGAAGCAGGAAGTGATCCCTGGAAGCAGGTGGTGACAATTCCCATATCCCAGTGCCGAGGTACCCTGATACCCTGAGCATTCTTTTCAGCCCTGGACTGAGTTTCACTTTTGCATTAAGGAAAATCCCACTGAGAATTTGATGAGATATCGACCTTTCGTCCAGAAAAATACGTCTACCCACAAAATCGCATCCACATTTCAGGGGTTTCATGGACCCCTGAAGTCCATCCATGATCACCAGAATAAGAATGGCTATGTTATAATCCACAGCAGAGCCTCCTTTCTGAGGGGGCCCTCAGAGGGCAGCCTGGGAGAGGGAGGCTTAATGAAGGAAGCAGCACTTCCTTGGTTTGTTTCTTTAATTGAAGTCTAGTTGATTAACGATGTTATGCTAGTTTCAGGTGTACAGCAGTGATTCAACTACACATATCTATTCTTTTTCCGATTCTTTTCCATTATAGGTTATTACAAGCTATTGAATACAGTTCCCACGCTATACGGTAGGTCCTTATTGTTTATCTGTTTTATATGTAGTAGTGTGGATCTGTTAATCCCAAACTCCTAATTTATCCCTTCCCTCCCTTTCCCCTTTGATAACCATAAGTTTGTTTTCTAGTCTATGTCTGTGAGTCTGTTTCCTTGTTTGTTTGTTTTTTTTAACATCTTTATTGGAGTATAATCGCTTTACATTGTTGTGTTAGTTTCTGCTGTATCACAAAGTGAATCAGCTCTACGTATACATATATCGCCATGTCTCCTCCCGCTTGCGTCTCCCTCCCTCCCACCCTCCCTACCCCACCCCTCTGGGTGGTCACAAAGCACCGAGCTGATCTCCCTGTGCTATGCGGCTGCTCCCCACTAGCTATCTGTTTTACGTTTGGTAGTGTATATATGTCCATGCCGCTCTCTCGCTTTGTCCCAGCTTACCCTTCCCCCTCCCCGTGTCCTCAAGTCCATTCTCTACATCTGCGTCTTTATTCCTGTCCTGCCCCTAGGTTCATCAGAACCATTTTTTCTTTTCTTTTTTTTAGATTCCATACATATGGGTTAGAGTCTGTCATACAGTGTTTCCTTGGTTTTAATGACTGGCCTGGGATGGCATGGGCGGAGAACTGCACGATCCTATCAGTGCTGATGAGGTTGGCAGGGCTTCCTCCCTGGCCCAGGTGCCTCAGCACTTATCCTTAGCACTGTCCAACTCTGTCGCTTGTTACCCCAAAGAGAAACCGCGCCCCCCAGGAAGAAATTTTCATTGAAACTGCAATTAAATCTCTCTGGCAGCTTGAGTTAATAAACTCCAAGCTCAAATTCCCAATACAACCTGCTCCCTCCTTGCAGCTCCCAGGTCAGGTTGGTCTTGGTGGGTGAAAACTCACATTCCCAGCATTCTCTGCTCCAAAGGCTGCCCAGGTGTTTGAGACCTTTCTCACTAACCAGTGTGTCTTCTCCTGCCCCCCCACCCCCCACCCCCAACAGATACCTTTCTTCATTTAACTGAAAAAGAGCCAACTGGAGGAACTGCCATGGCAACCACCGACAGACACTAAGCCACACTCCACATTACTTAGGTAAAGAAATGGCGATCTGGAGCCAGTTTAGATTGTGGATAGACTTGGGGATCAATGGGACAAATTTGGCCTGTTCCTGTGGCCCAGTGGGAGAATGCAGATCCATTCACTTGTCTATTTGTCAGAGTTTTATTAGGTTGTAATTAGCTCCCATGCTCCGCCCCCCTTTTCCTTCTGCCTCTCTTGTCCTAGCCCCACCCACCGCCAGGCAATGGGAAGCCAAGACTATGACACCTCTGGTATAAGCTCTGCCAAGGGAAGGAGCTGATGGTACAGGGCCCCTCCCTCCGCAACGCCCAGGTGCCTGAAGAGTTGCATGCAAATCCAAGTTGGGCAAATCAGGTCATATTTTAAGCACACTGCAGGAACTGTACAGTATAATGGAACCATTCATTAATGCTTGCTTAAATTTAAAAAAAAAAAAAAATCCCTCTAAAGTGCCAATATGTAACTCTTTCACGTACCTGATCCGAGTGAGGATTTTTATAACGCGGAGTTGTCTTAAAGCAGGGCATATTTCTACGTGCTAACGATGTCAGTTTTATCCTTGTCAAGCTTTACTATTGGATGACAAGGCCCTGGAAAGTATCAGAAAAAGCCTTCAAACAGAAATTAGAAAGCTAAGTGCCTAGCAAAGTGTTTCATGTTATACTCGATATTTTGGAGAGCATCTGTGGTCAAGATGAAAGACCCTCTCACTTAAGGAGCTGAAAGGTTGGGGTAAGTTACTTTCGGCGCCTCAGTTCCCTGATCTTTTAGGAAATAATATGGCCTGCCTGGTCAGAGTCAAGGTGAGCACTCTGGTACAAATGAGGGGAGTATAACGCAAGGGTCTGGTCCTTCCATATGGCCAGAACTTTTGCTACCTTATTTATCTTGTACAGGGGACTTGGGGGTGATAGTTTAGAATAAACTCTGGATTGGGTACCTTATGAGTTGTACCTCATAACCTTTGTGAAATCCCTTTTACATTTCTGAACAGAGGAAATAGTAGCTTTCCTTTCTGCCAAGTTCATCTTTTCCTTTTGACTTCAAATGCTCTTCCAAAGGGGGGCTCTGGCTCTCAGGTCCCGAATTCCAGGTGTGCAGAGAATATTAGAGATGAGGCACTTGCTGGATCTCTTACTTAGAGGCCTTTGCCATTCTAGACCGCGTCTGATTAGTGACAGGAGGGAGGTAAGCTGGGTAAGGTGTATGTTAGCACCTACTTCTGCTGTTATGTCCTCAGTTACCTAAGGGAGAAGGAGGCAAATGATGATAGCGAAGTATTTCTTCAGAAACCGTGTGCTTTAAAAGCACGCTTTCCTCCCTGGAGCCCGCAGGAGCCGTCCTGTCCCTTTTGAGCTCTTTTCTTCCTATGTTTCCTTGGGAGGAACTCACCGATACAGTGGGCATCAGCTAAGGTCGCATCGCAGGGGCACTGGGAACCCACCGTATGTTGGGGAGGGTACCCGGAAGCTCAAAGCTGTTACTCGCTATTACAGAGAATATTAAAAGGATTAAATCTTACTTCCTATTACACGCAGGCCCAAACTGCAGCTGTATTTCAATGCAAAAATTGCAGTGCGGGCTTAAGGAAATTGTCTCTGTTTTCCTGAAATCTGTTAACAAAGGTTAAACCTCGGTGTCTTGTATCTTGGTTACTTAATTACTCCCTGGATTGAAAAGGCCAGGCCTATTTATATTCTTTGGTCTAAACTTAAAAGGTGAACAAAGGCTTTTGTAAGAAAAATAAATTCACATTCTTTTATGGGACAAAGTGGAAGCTGCAGATTACTCTTGCATTTACATTTCAAAAGATATCCATTCCTCTCCCAGCTTACCTGCCAAGACTTGAATTCACCATGGAATCGCTATTCAACCTGATGGAATTACTGTTACCTCCAGCGCAAGCTAGAAAGGGATGTCAAAGTATGTTCTCCTGAAAGGGTTAATGAGTTTCTCTGTTTCAGCAATGCCAAGAAAGAGACTGGACTGTCAACATCGTCCAGCATCGTCCACGGGCACCTGACATTCACTTTTCTTAAATCTGAGAAGTTGGGAGGAACTACTCTATTCTCATTTCATTCCTGGCTGCCTTGTTAAACTCCCTGAGGCTCAAAGAGCTTTAAATAACCTGCCAAAGGCCTCCTGGCCAGTAATGGCAGAGCTGGACTCAAACCCCGGCATGCCTGACTGCAGTGGGCTCCGTGGCAAGTATCCGATAACACCTTAGAACAGGCCAGGATGCAGATCGTGGGTGGTTCAGGTCCTTCA